GGCATAATTTTTTATATGCATGATGAAGAATTGGCCATCAAGGGGAAGACCGGACGTCGCTAAAAATCGCAAATAAAAGTGATAGGGAAAGACCCGACAGACGAAAAAATTCAAATATTACCTTGCTTTATAGAATAATGCGCAGCACACGCCCTACTTTTTCGGAGCGACTGGCTGAAACTTGGGGTCGGGGCAGAATAAAATGGAGTCTTGTACCATATTGCTAGCTTTCAAAAATATAGCATAATTCACCGAAAATTTGAATTTTACGGTCTTACCGCATCACCGATCTTACCCCAATGCACTGTATATTTAAAATTTCGTCTGTCTTCTTGGATACTTGTAATAAGTTTTTATCTTTAACACCAACATGTGTATCATCCGCAAATAGAGTAACCATCGCCCAGTCAGGTAAATTATTTGCACGGTCGTTCACGTATACTAAAAATAGCAATGGTCGCAGGGTGGAGCCGTGTCTTTTATCTGTTTTTACGTTTTTTAGAATACTAAATAGTCTTTCTACCTCAGTATTTGAAGATGGAACTGCTAGTAAAACTGAAATAACTACTTCAATATTTTCGTAAATGAAATTACCATGATAATCTTTCATGCTTAGAACCTTATTCCAATAAATGTCGGCTGGCATGTTTTTTTATTCTTCTTCGCTTTCAACTCAAAAATGAATTAAGTCATAAGAGCTTGATTTCTCTATTCGTTATCTGCTTTTTGCATGTTGAATTTTGTCTTTAAAACATTTAACTTAATTTATCTAACACATCTTTCACCGATTGTTTCTCTAGATTTCTTGCTATTTTTGAATCCACATACTTCAATAAGTCAAAAAGTTTATCATTCAAGTGGAACCGCTTTTGGATTTGCAATACTATTTCCACATAAACTTCACGACAACTAGCATAAAATTTGTTCACTTCTTCTATTGGAGCTTTTGTCTTTAAATCTTAGAGTATCGCATGTGCTTCCATACCAACGTATATATGATCATTATTGAGGTGAATTTCTGTTTTAGTGACGTCAATTTGCTTAAGGCTCTTTAGATCTGAGTTCCTGACTCAAGTGCTCCTTTTTGACAAAGTTGTACAAAAATGTGTTCAACATTTTCCGAACCATCTCTGGCAGTATACATAATTGTGATAATTTTGTTTGAAAAAAGGTATTAAAATTGTTAGATATAGAGGAGACGTAACTCATAAAGTGTAATAATGCTTTATTAATTGGGTTGTTAAGACTGTTCAAGATGGAATCATTAGTATTAGAGGGATTCTCAAAAACTGCCCCCGTAAAAAATATATTTCAGTGCATCATACTGCTCTAATATCCTGTCGACGCAAGCTGGAAGTGACAACCATCTTGTATTTGCTGCAGATTTTTTTTATAGAAGAGGGGGCAAACGAGTATGCGGCTCACCTGATGTTAAGTGACTACCGCCGCCCATGATCAACCGCAACACTAGGGGAATTGCAGGTGCGTTGCCGGCCCTTTAGAAAGGAGTAAGCTCTTTTTCTTGAAAGGTCCGAAAACTATTCCACAGAGAGGTTGTACGCGGAAGAAAACTCCTTTTGAAACGTACAGTGGTGGACCGCCAAGCATCCAGATGATGTGGATGGTATCGGGACGTTTGCCGCGTAGTGCGTTCACGAAATTTGGCGGTTGGGATTAATCCGAACAATTCCTCAGAGCACTCTCCATGGTATATGCGAAATAAAATGCAAAGAGATGCAACATCTCTTCGCAGTGCCAGTGAATCGAGCCGATCGGAAAGCACTCGGTCGTCGACGATTCGAGCCGCTCTGCGCTGGATGCGGTCAAGTGGAAGGAGCTGGTACTGGGGAGCCCCGGCCCAGAGATGGAAACAGTTTTCCATGTGCGGCCGAACCTGCGCCTTGTAAAGTTGCAGGCGGTGTGCCGGCATGAAAGACTGTCGCGCTCTGCTGAGCACGCCAAGCTTTTAGAGGCCAATTTGGCCTTCTTTTCCAAGTATATGGTAGTAATAATATATATATATATATATATATATATATATATATATATATATATATATATATATATATATATATATATATATATTGTAATAGGTAAGTAATTTATGTTGGTCAATTTTTATAAAATCCTGAAACTGTCGGAGTGATTCTGTTAGCTTAGGGCTCATATGAAAATATGCAGGTATATTACGGCACAAATCTTCTAAATTTTTAGATAGTTTACGGGAGGCATATGATGTCGCGAGATGTATTAAATGGCATGAGCACTCTGTAACGATCCAGAAGCGGATTTTCAGTTTTTAGTAAAGCCTGAACTGAATTGTGCTTTCTCATCATTACGTTCGTCGTATCTGATGTAAGTCCGAAGACATGATCAAGAGGTACTTCATGTTGAGAAAAACTACCTCTTATTGGAAGATACCTTTTGCCGTTCCATCAATCATATCCAAAAATCTTTTTTTGTCAAACTACTAAAAATGTTATAATAACATCTGACTGTTTTTTTACAGACAGATCTCTATTATTATATTAAAATAGCTATTCTTCATGATATCAATCACTTCTTGTTCTTGTTTATATGTCGCTCCTGTGACGTAAAATATTTGCTGCTTTTTGTTTTCCTAGATGCACGTCTTCTAAACATTTCGTAACAGCGATACAAAATCATCGACTAAAGAAATTGGTAGATCACGTTAAGCAAGAAAGCCATGCATTTTTTATTCCATTTTTAATACATTAGTAGCGTGCGTCTGATTTTTGTTCAGAAATGTTGACATTCTTCCACATTGCGAAATAACAGCTACCTTTGTGGTGTGTTTGGCACAGTTTTTATGTTTAAGTAATTCGGACATTCCACATACAAGATCACAATCGCATTGCAGTAAGCTTTTATCTCACCATTATCAGATTTCTTCAGCTAAGACTTAAAATCAGGATGCTCCAGCCAATAAATTTTAAATTTTTGCACGTATTATCTTTCTTTACTTGCTGAATTTAAAGTCGAAGAGGATGGTGTTCCATTATCTTATTCCATTTTAAATTACTTACAATTTAATTTAAAAAAAATATATATTCCGAGGCGCAATTCGGAGTGCAGTATGTAAATGAAACAAAACGAATCAAATCCAGCAAGCCTTGGTAGATATAAATAATATGATTAAATTCCGACTACATCTAAAACAACGGAACTGATATTATAAATGACAAATTAAAATTTGATGGATTACATTAGCACAACAGGGCTACCATCATAAGTTTACTTACAATTACCATCATAAATTTTTCTCCGAATTTTCCTAAACCCCTGTCTTATTAAAATAATCCATATTCATGTACAATTTTACTTAATTTTCCCTAAAAAAGGGAAAAATCCCTAAAAGTTCAAATACTGCGCCATTTTTAGTTCGCTCTGAGACAGCGTGTGGGCAAGACGTATAATTTAAAGTAAAAAAAAGTGACAGAGTACGACGTTGATTTTTTTATATCACTGATTGAGGTTCGCTGTTCTTTGGGACACGTAACGATGATTATAAAAATAAATTCATCAAACAAGAAGCTTGGAAGAACGTATGTAAAATTTTGAATCGATCCGAGCATCTTTGGCTAAAGCAGCGGCAGAAATAGATATGAGTGTGGTGCGTGCTGCGATTGATGATTAGCCGCGTCGATTAAGGCATGTATTCAAAATAGGGGAGTGCATTTTGAATAATGCTAATAAAATGGTATTTTAAAAGTATAGAGGTCAGTTTTAAATTAACTTCCGGATGAGCTAGACTTGAAATTTTGAACATTGCTCAGAATTGGATGACAATGTAATATTAAAAAGAAAAACGTTGTATATTAAAAAGCTTTTAATCTGTTTTTGTTTACCATTAGGGTATTATCTAAACCTGCAGTTTATTTGGTAATCAGAATTTGCAGGTTTGATGAATTCTGCACGTGAAAATCAAAAAAATGCTGCTGTTTGTCTTCATGTGTGAGCATAAAGGTGATTTAATGCGGTAAAAAATCCGGTAGAACAACTTCCAGAATGTAACATTGCAATATTAAATGTCAATGTTGCAAAGAAAAAGGTACATTTTCATCATTATCTTTTATATGCTCACATTAGATGGTAACATTGTTGAAATACAAGTTCTGGACAAACTGCTTTATTTCCTTATGAAATACAATGTTTAGTGGAAAAAAATCTGAAAGTAAAAGTATTCTGAATCTTGTGTTCAGTAATTATACACACAATAATATACATAACTATAATAATATAAGTAAAATAAAGTCACAGCCTATATTACGTCCCACTGCTGGGCACAAGCCTCCGCTCATTTCTGAGGGTTTTAGGGTAAGGAATTGTCCGCCGCGCTGCCCCAATGCGTGTTGGCGAACTTCACGTGTCTTCAAAATATTTTTTTTCTTATTTCTCTGACATGTAGGTTTCCTCACGATGTTTTCCTTCACCGCCGAGCACGTGGTAAATCAGCACTTAAAATTGCAATTTACAATTTCATTGGTGCCGGCGGGGATCGAACCCGGTTTGCTCGCGTACTGTGAAATTTAAAGCAAGCGCAAACTATCTGAACTACCACAGCTTATAATATTATATAATAAAATAATACATATAACAATATTGTTTCGAAATTAAAACTGTTAAATTCACCAGACCCTATATGAGAATTCCTGGTTATAATATATATCAACCATAGTTCGAACTGGCCATGTGATATGAATAAATTTCAAATAATTTTTTACCTAAAATATCGTCAAATAGAAATGATAATGTAATAAAAATCAACCAATATTATTTTAATTATTTATTTCTACAATGGTGATCAAAGAAGTCAATCTTTATAAAATATGTTTAATTAAAAGCCTTACACAACCAGTCCACCTTTGTTGTATGCCCCGCCAAGTTTCATTGTGCATTATACAGCAATATGGACCATGAGTAAGGTACTTAGTGAACATAATAAAATAATATACTTATTCTTATGCACTATGTATAATCTAAGTATACTTTTGCAAAATTGAATCTAAAGCTTTCTTCAATGTGGGATCATTTAGAAGTTTATGTTGAGCATCTTGTGCTGGTGTTTGTACAGGTCCTGGAGTTAGAGCTGGAGGTGGAGGTGGTTCTTTCTGAGCGATTACTTTCTTTTCATTTAGAATACTCATAATTCTTTGCTGCAAGTCAACTTGGGCCTTGCTGTTGACTGTTGTAGGTGCTAAAGGTTCTCCCAATTCTATTTTGATTTGATGTTCTTTGCGATCCTGTTGAATTAATTTATAATTGAATTAATTCATTATATTCCAAATGCAAAGTCCTCAGTAGGACTGTGTCCAGCCAAAACATATGTTAACTTACTTGTTATGATACTTAGGAATTAAGTAAGTTGAAAAGATAGAATGAAAAGTATTTTTTTATGGAACATCTTTAAAAGTTAAGTTAAAAGGTTAAAGTTACAGCCTATATACGTCCCACAGCTGGGCATAGCCCTCCTTTCATTTCTGAGGGTTTTATGGCAAGGAAATGTCCCCCGCGCTGCCTCTATGCATGTGGTGAACTTCAAATGTCTTCAAAAATATTTTTTCTTATTTCTCCGACACGTAGGTTTTCTAACGATGTTTTTCTTCGCCGTCGAGCAAGAGGTAAATCAGCACTTAAAATTTCTAAATAGTATTGGCGGGGATCGAACCCTGGTTGCTCGCGTACTGTGAAATTTACAGCGACTGCTTAACCCCTAAACAACCATGGCCCTCACATTATTAAAAAAAAGCACAAATTGTTAGTTTTTGCAAATGGCATCATATGTGACAGATAATCCATGTTGGCATTAATAATGTCATGGCGGCCTGCCTCAACGGAGACTAGCCATCAAAGGAAATGCAAGTAGGAGACAGGTGATTTCTGGACGGCAACCGACTTGGGCAGCTACTGAATTTCTTGCGGCTTTTTAATTTTTTGGCTCGACCCGGGATTCGAACCCAGGATCTCATGATCAGCAGTCGCACTACTACAACCACTAGACCAACGAGGCAGTCAATATTGGCATTATCTTAGTATTTGATACTTTAGGGCTCTTATTATACACGCTAAGAAAAGTCGCCGGGTCTATGCAAGAATTCGCGTCGATTCTACACACGAACTGCGTACAATGCTCCGGCGCTGACAAAGAAAAAAATCTAGTCTGCGCTAGACAAGACGAGCTCTGTTGTTGCGGTGAAGGGAGGGGCGGAGTAGGCGAGTTGCTTCAGATAATGAGTTGTTTTGAGAATGTGTGAACGTGTTTACATACTTCTTCATTTTTACATACATATATATACATATATATATATATATATATATATATATATATATATATATATATATATATATATATATATATTTTTATATATATATATATATAATATGCAATAATCATTTTTGCTTCGTAGTTAACATGATTCTATTCATTACAAACAAACTTGACTAGTGCACCATAACCCTACGCACGACTGACCGAATTTTTTTTTATCGTTTATATGTCTCTATTTATTTTGTCTGAACCAGACACGACAAATTTTCGTGGCTAGATCTGACAAAATTCTTGTCGTACGAGTATACATGATGAATTGGTATTATCTGCCGCAGACACGGTGAAATTTTTTAGCGTGTACAAGAGCCCTTAGCCAACCTTCTAAAGAGCTGGATAATTTTCCTTACATTTCTATAGAAATTGTTTAGTACTTTTTCATGAATTCGTTCACATGTTAGTTTAATCCTAGTGCTTAGGGATAACGACTTATCTGTAGTCTTCTTATTTGAAACATGTTGCAGGTGTCGTTGAACTGCCAAAGCAGCTAACCTTCAGTTGGACTGTTGTGTGTGATACTTATATTATTGAAAAACTAAAATGCCATACATAGAAAACAAAAAGAACAAGTGTGGTTAAACTAACCTGTAAATATTCAATAACTTTATCATATTGTAGCACAGTAAGAGAACGGCCGTCTGCTAACTGGCCCAACAAAGCGTAAACGGCTTCCCTGCCAGAGGATCCACCATGCTGAACCTCTTGGAAGTTACGTGAAAGTAATTGCAGGGCATCTTCTAAAGGCATGTTACGGTGTTCTAAAAGAAAATTTTATGAAAATGCGTGTGATTTCTTGAGCCCTCACTATGAAATTCCCTTTAATAACTAATTTTTCACGTGGTAGAGCAATGCTGTAACTATATTATGGTTTAGCACTAACGGGTTGACTTCATCAGCGAATGACCACATTTTAACAGAATACCAGCATAAAATAGTAGCTTAAAGCTGCTGTATTTCACAGTCATAAGTTTTTAGGGGTGATAACTCATCTGTATTTTAATTCTTAATCGAGGATAAATGTAGATGTCTGTGGGCTACAGCATCCACTTACCATCAGGTGGACTGTGTGCTCCTATGTTAACCATATTCTATAAAAAAAATTAAAGTTCAATTTTTTATTTAAAAAATCGATCAAAATAGATGTGTTATATGTAAATGAGACAAAACGGAAAGAAAAGGATGTCACTACACATGGTACTTATACCGCACACTGGTCTGGTATAGACGAGACCGAGCGGGCATGCCAGGGAGTAGGATTTTTTACGTGGTAGAGCCATGCTGCAGTTATATTAGTAGTATAGTTGTAATACGAATGAGTCGGCTTGACCGGGGAAGGACCACGCTCTCACAGAATACCAGCGTAAAATAGTAGCTCAATGCTGCTGTATTTCGTATGGTGAGTGTAGAGAACCGGTGACCCTTTTTACTGGAAACGAGGCATTCCGTCTTAGTCCTCACGGGTGACAACGCATCTGCATTTTGATTCGTAGTCAAGGATAGATATAGATTTCCATGGGCCACAGCAACCACTTACCATCAGGTGGACTGTGTGCTCGTTTGTCACCCTATCCTATAAAAAAGGTATCATCCTTTCTGAAAAATGGGTCAATGTGTAAAAGAGTATAAATGAGACTGGTATGGATACGATTGAAAGTGGGCTTAAAGAAGTTGTTTGTGCTAGGAATCTACGCCCAGACATGTCTAAATCCACTTATATCCAAATGCATTTTGGGAGACAGTAAGGATGGTGTTAACAAAGTAGAAGGGAAATAAAAATATTATTATGTTAGGAGATTTTAATGGAAGGGTTGGGGTGAAGAGGCTTGGTTATGAAAGGGTAGAGTAAATGGGGTCCTACACTCTATTGTGAAAAGCCAGAATGTGTCAACAAAGGCATGCATGGTATTTCACAATGCCGTGTTGGTCACTACTTTAATGTATAGTAGTGAAATTTGGGTGTGGCAGAAGAAGCATGAGAGTAGAATAAATGCAGTAGAAATGCGGTCATTAAGGAGTACGTTAAGGCTGAATCTGAACGACAGGGTGAGAATTTATATATATACAAAACACGTAACATAATTAACGCACTTTGAGAAAGTAGTTTGTTCAGAATCGTTGATTGAATCGATTCCTATCATTTTTAATATAGGTAATTTTTTATCCCAAAAATAATTAAAACTACGTAAATTACACTCACACTAAATCTTTACAGTCAAAACAAACTGAAATGGACCGTAACTTAAGGCAATAAGACTTTTAAGAGTGCAGTTTTATTTGTATTAATACTAATTCTGTCATTGAATAAAAATAAAGAAAAATAAACTTTATTTCAAGCACGTTAAAGTCCTTGCGTTCGTGGATTTGTACTGTGACCACAACATTCTTCCGGAATTAGTATAACTAATTTGATAAATAATCAGTGCATAAAAATGTTTAACTAAAAATTCAGTGTATGTATTATGATTATAACATAATATACTAATTGGGGTGTCTGAGGGTGTACGTTAATTACGTTACATATTATATATATATATATATATATATATATATATATATATATATATATATATTTTTATAGGATAGTTTTTTTCCCATGTACCCAGTAGTGACCCACAAATTTTTTTTGCGAATTTGGAAAGGATTTTTTTTTGGACATTTTGACAAAGGATCGTCGAAAAGGACAGAACACCGTCCACCTGGCAAGCTAGTATATATATATATATATATATATATATATATATATATATATATATATATATATATATATATATATATATATAAAATAGTAGCTTAAAGCTGTATTTCATAGTCCTTAGTCTTTAGGGGTGATAACTCATCTGCATTTTGATTCTTAATCGAGGACAGATGTAGATGTCTATGGGCCACAGCATCCACTTACCATCAGGTGAACTGTGTGCTCCTGTTAACCATATTCTATAAAAAAAAAACTCGATCGAAATCGTTTTAACAAAAATTGGAGGTCATTACTTACTCTGGTTTCGCTATCCAGGAGGAAACAGAGGAATATGTGTGTGTGCCCAAATATCCTCATAAAAGGTTAGATCTTAGAATTAATTTTCTTGAAATACAAAATCTTAAAAAAAGCAATTACTAAGCTGGCATAAAAAATGAGTACCTTGTGGCAGTCCATGTAGAATAGTCAGTGTTAAAGATCTATGTTCCTGATTCTGAGGCATTACTAGAATGGCGTAGAGACATCCGCGAGAAGCAATGTTCCCTAATACTTTTCCGATGGGAACATCCTCCATTGGGAACAGTAGATCAACTACAATACCCAACCGCTTTAGCCTACTTTCTATATACTCTGCATATTCACTAGAAAAATGTAATTAGTATTATAAAAAATATTGTCTGCCTTTTGTGTCAATACATTATGTTAGATATAATAAAGAATAAATAAATAAATAATTTTATGCGCTAACACAGAATCAGTGATTCGTCTTAGGTATGTTTGATGTAACGTAAACATTAAAATATAGTAAAATTGAGAACCCCTCTTATTTGTAATTGATAAGTCATGAAAAATCAATAAATAGTCTAAATTTTAAAAACTACACATACATTAGGCAGAACAAAATAACATCTAAAATTGTTCCTATTGCACCAAAGTGACACACATTCACATAAAAGTAATTACTTTGTAAGAGATGCAAAAGTAAAACACTAGGCAAATAAATGATATGAAGGAAAGAGGATAGCTTATGACAATTACACTTCAATAATAATGTCTCATGGAAGCCAGCCTCAACGGAGACTAACCATCGGCGCAAGACAAGATTATAGTGCCCAAGTGTATGCGCAAGCACAGGGGCACTCTCTATTCCCTCACTCTCATAGTCCGATGGGACGTTAAACCGACATGACTGGAGAGAGATCAGGCGCAGGGCCAACGGCTTTACGTGCTTTCCGAGGCACAAGGGTGAGACACCGCCAACTTCCTGACTCCGGACAGCTAATGAGAATTTCTGGACGGAAAACTCAATAACTGTTTTTTTGGCCTGGCCCAGGATTCCGGCCCTCAGTCGAAATCGAAGAGTCGAAATTCGGGATAACAGTCGCGTTTAGAACTACTAGACCAACTTGGCAGTCGAGCATTACGCTTCAAGTAATGCAACTAATACATAACAGTTATAGATTAAATATATTGCCCAAGTAACAACTGCAAAATGAATGCCACAAAACACGGTTTGACCTGAGTCAACTCCAGTGGGGAGCCACCTTACACTTCGCACTTCATCTCTCCAATGAAATTAAAGTAAATTTGTTTGTAGGTAAGATAAAAACATTTATGATTGTGTTCTTCACTTTTCATAAGTTATATATTTAAATTCAAAATGCGTGGTAATGCATTCTTTTAACTGACTTTACTGCGCACCCACACATTCATAAGGGTCGATCGGTTGGCAAAAACATTGTTGCCTATAAATCACAATTATTTTTGGATAATTTCAAATAAAAGTAGAAACCTTATTTATACGTATTTTCAAAAACTGCAATAGCAGTATATTATCATTTATATATTTGAACTTAAGTTTGAAATTTGGCTACTCTTTGAAAAATAACCCTGTACCCTACCACAGAGGAAACGTAAAAAAAACAAGTTTTTTGCTAGGAATACAATTAAGAAAAACACTCAAGTAGTTTATATATATTCATTGAACGCAAATAATATAATTAATAAATTTTAATTCATCAACGGTACGAACATAGCTCTCGTTTTAAAAAGGGGATAATGTAGTTATAGGCGGACAAATACGTTTCTTCATACTAGTATTTAAAAATTTGTGGTTTTATATGACTAAGACTATATCTAAACATATCCGAAATTAACATAAATGATAAAAATACTTACGTCAGAGCTTTTGAGACTACAATTATCTCACAGTCGTTCCTCTCTGAAATTGGCAAGGCTCTAGGATAGTCTGGTAACGTCTGAGGATATCGGTCAAAGCCACTTCTTTCAGGCCATTCGCCACCTGAACCATAGTAACAGTAGTAAAGTAACAGCCTCAGACATAGATGAGTCCATGCTGTTCACTTCAGCAGTCTTTACAAGACCTCGAAAGTTCCCCCCCCCTCCCGTTTCCCTTCGTCGCCGAGTACACGGTAATGTAACTAACTGTTAAGTTAGTTACATTACTGGTATGTAAGTTATCTAACAATAACTATTTATAATTAAGTAGTAACAATAACAAGTAAATTAGTAGTTTTGCGTAAAATAGCAACTTAATGCTGTTGTGTTTTGTATGATGAGTGTAGAGATCCGGAGACCCTTTTTTACTGGAAATGAGGCATTCCATCTTAGTCCTCAGGAGTCACAACGCATCTGCGTTTTGATTCTTAATCGAAGATAAATGTGGATGTCTATGGGCCACAGCGTCCACCTACAATCAGATGGTCTGTGCGCTCGTTTGTCACCTTTATTCTATTAGAAAAAGTAATGGTAAACTATCATTAAAACAAATATTTAAATTTCTCAGTAAGAAATAGAACTGCGTCTTTATCATCACAGCCCCCGACATTCCACAGCTGAACATAGACTTAGGTTATGGGTTGCCACAAATTGAAAGGTTGATGATATAATTGATTGGAGGAATGTCCATCTTTGCAAGGTCGGGCTTGATAAAATAATTAGTGACCTGCTTTCTGTGTGAAAATATTGTCAATGTTTCACTTTTAATAATACAGCCGTCCTCGAGAATGATAATAGCGGCCTTGCTAAGTTGCTGTGCTGTAACATGATGCTCGCATATTATTCTTATCATACTTTGATTACGGCAAAAGTACAGGTACATATTAAGTTTGTTAAGCTCAACACACATATCATTGCAGCGTTATCGGAATCAGTATCCAAGCATACAGAAATAATTAAAAAAAAAAAACATTTAAAAATATTAATAAAAAAAATAATTTGCAAATTGTATGTGGTTTTATTAACTATGCATCTGCAAGATTGTCAAAGACCCCGCATTATCGATAGTCGTGTGAGTTAGAGGAAATAAAACCACATACAATTTGCAAAAAATTTTTTTTGATTAAAATTAATTTTTTTTAAATGTTTTTTTTTGAAAAAATCATTTCTATACGCTTGGATACTGATTCTGATAACACACTTAACGGGAACCACAGGGTTTTTGTTACATGTATAATTGTGGCCTTAGTAGACAAAATGCAAAAAGTATGCTTTTAAATACAATACATACCTCTGCCACCAACAGGCGTACGGTCTCTGTAGCTAGGACCACCACCACGGCCCCTACCAAGAGCTCGACCCCTTGGCCCACCTCTACCGCGCATAGCGTTTCTGGTTTCGCGAGATTCATTTGCCTCGCGTACATCACGGGCATCCCGAATTTCTCGACCTTCATGACCCTCGCCCCAACCTTTGCCATACCCTTCATCATATTCTTCTTCTCTGTAATCTTCCAGAAAATCCATTCATGTGAATAACTTAATAATGTATTATAATTATAACTATGTAACCAAGTGAGCATTGTCTAGTAATGGTAGTGTAGTGGTTAAGTACTAACCATAGAAATCGTAATAATAAGACAATAGAAGTCGCAGACACGTGACCTTGTCGCCGCTATGATATGTTGACGAACACCATTCACCATTATGTGATTTAGTTGCGCGGGCAACGTCGTACGTAAATTTATATTATTATAATGGTGAACTGCAGCATAATCAGTTGTAAAAACTCATGAAGGATGTCTAATTTAACTAATAAAGGTGTAGTGATGTATATAAATAAAAGTCACTACATATATCACACAAAACGTTTATTGTCCACAAGCACAAAGAGAGTTTAGAAAGGCGGATAGCATACATAGTGACAGCAAAAGAAAGGAAGAGTTAGCACAGAACAAAAGATAGCATTTAAACAGAACTTGATATACACAATGAGACTACAATTTAAGCGAGCGAAAGCGTTAGGCCGGACCTGCGCAAGAGTGGCGTGCGTTCTACGTCGGATGCAGCTACGGACTGACGGGGGGAACCCGCTCGCACGCAAACAGATCGGGGCGTGGCCGTTTGACCTAGATATGGTCGCGCCATAGGTTCAGTGAGTAGTGCTCTCTCATTGCGGCGTGTTGAAGATGCCAGGTTCGGTACATCACCCCCCTCCAGAGACCGTGTTACGGGCGATAATAATTAGGGAATCTTACTGCCTTTCCTGATTTTGTACGTTGTATTACTTTTGTTGTTTGACTCTTGTGATTTGGCAAGCAAAATTAAGGTGACTCCTTGGGTTATGTCTTCGACTCGTGAAAGTGTATCGACTACTACGTTATCTTTATGCTGTATGTCCGTCGTAAATTGTGAAATGTAATCCAGGTGTCTAAATTGCCTGGGAGTACAATTCTCTTTTCTTGTGTGGAAAGCAAAGCATAGCGGTTTGTGATCTGTATACACTGTAAAGTGTCTCGCTTCTAACACGTACCGAAATTATTTTATTGACTCGTATATCGCCAGTAGTTCTCGATCGTATGGGAAATATTTCTTTTGTGCAGAGCTTAGCTTACTCGAAAAAAAAATATGCGAGAAGTTGCCAATTGCCATCCTTTCGTTGCTGCAACGCCGCTCCAATGGCCGATTCTGAGGCGTCTGTGACTAGTGCTAGACGTGCTTGCAGGTCTGCGTGTACTAGTAGTGCTGCTCGGCAGAGGCTTTGTTTGCACTTGTTAAAAGCCTCAAGGTTGTCATCAGAAAGGGCGATTGGATACAATCATTTGACTGTTCCGGTCAGGAGTGCATGTAAGTGTGTTTGGATTTCAGCAGCACCTGGGATGAACCGCCGGTAGAAATTAATCATCCCTAGGAAGCGTCTAAGCTTTTTTACGTTTTTCGGTATGGTAAAGCTCTGATAGCTTCGACCTTTGAGTCCAGTGGCTTCACACCATGCGTTGAGACAGGCCCAAAAGGTTACTTGTGTTGCCCCAAATACGCATTTGTTCGTGTTTATTACCATTCCGTATTTCTTGAGTCTATTAAATATTTGGCGCAGGTGATTCTCATGAGTTTCTTCGTCTGGCGAGAACACTAGGAAATCGTCAAGGTAGGCATAGCAAAATTCCAGGTCTCGCGTCATTTCATCGACAAACCTTTGGAACGCCTGGCCAGAGTTTCGGAGGCCGTACGTCATGAAGGGGAACTCATATAGTCCAAAGGGTGTTGATATTGCCGTTTTACATATATCTTCTTCAGCAACCCTTATTTGGTTGTAAGCTTTTACCAGATCTATGGTGGAGAAGATACGGGAACCAGAGAGATTATGTGCAAAATCATGGATATGACGTATCGGGCATCTGTCTGGTATTGTGCGTGCATTGAGCCTACGGTAGTCTCCGCATGGTCGCCATCCATTATCCTTCTTTGGAGCTAGATGGAGTGGAGACGACCACGGGCTGTCAGATGGTCTTGCTGTACCGAACTTTATCATGGCTGCAAATTCCTGTTTTGCTATTTTTAACTTATCGGGTGCTAACCGTCTTGGACTATAAAAAACGGGTGGACCCGGTGTAGTTCTAATGTGATGAACGGTAGTATGTGCGGGAACTTGCTGAGTACCAGATGGTCATGTTATCTCTGGGTAATCTCTAAGTATGTCATGGTAATTAGTGTCACCTGTCATGGTCTTCACTGAAGAAATAATGGCAGGCGAAGATGCTGTTGTTGCGGTGGTGATTAATGTTCTTGTATTATCAATCAGCCGTTGATGTCGAACGTCGACTATTCAGTTAAAATGCGATAAAAAATCTACTCCGATGATGGGTTTCGTAACGTCAACCACGACGAAGCGCCAGGAGAATTCGCGACGCAATCCCAAGTCCAGCTCTAGATGTGCATAACCGTAAGTAGCTATGCTAGTACTGTTGGCTGCGAAAAGTTGGTAGTCCGTCTTTAGTTGCCTTCATTTGAGTGCCGTCTAAAAATTGCATTTTACTTCTACGGTCTGTAACAAAGAGGCGACTTGGCTGTGAAGCGCTGCCGTATGTCGCCATTAACGACTGCCCTTTAAGTTTTCCGACACATGGTCACATGGCTTGACGCAATGGTTTGCAGAGTCTCCGTACTTCCAATGATACCAACATTTAGGGAAACGCCTGTAGTTGGAATTCGATCGGGTTTGGCTGTGCTGTCGGCGACTGCTTCTACTTTTGGAACGCAAGCGTGATCTATTTTTATTTAAAGTAAGTGCTTCTAGTTGACTGGTAAGTTGCGCAATTTGTCTAGCCATTTCGTCAAATTGCGATCCAGTTGCTACGGTTGTGGCTGCGATTTGTGGCGTAGAGGAGACAATATCGATCACGGCGTCTGCTAAATCCGCTAAGCTATTTAAATCCGCTCGAGGTTGTGATGATATTGCGGTCTGTACGTGTGTAGGGAGGCGACTCGTCCAGAGGGTTTTTAGAAACTCGTCCGGTATCTCAAACCCTGCTAGATGACGTAAGTGTCTTAAGAACTGGGAGGGGCGACGATCACCTAGTTCCTCGTGTGTTAACAACTGCTTAACTTCCCTCTCTCTTGACATCGATAACCTTTTAATAAGCTCGCTTTTAAGGTGTTCATACTTTCCTGTAGTAGGAGGTGATACAATTATATCCTATACTTCTGCTGCGTAACGGTGATCCAGTTGAGATATGACATAGTAAAATTTTGTTTTGTCATCAGATATACCGGACAACGAAAAGTGTCCTTCCACTTGTGCGAACCAAACAGCTAGTTCCTCAGCCTAAAAAGGAGGTATACGAACGCCGACACGAAAAGTGTCGGTTGAAGCCGTGCCACTAACTCCGCCATCTTGTGATGTTGATTTTGACATGGTCAACCTTCTAAGTCACCTTTTAAGTCTAATATACACTTTTTTATGTTCAAACGCGGGTCACCAGTGTAGTGATGTTTGTAAATAAAAGTCACCACATATAACACAAACGTTTATTGTCCACAAGCACAAAGAAAGTTTAGAAAGGCGGATAGCATACACAGTGACGGCAAAAGAAAGGAAGAGTTAGCACAGAACAAAAGATAGCATTTAAACAGAACTTGATATACACAATGAGACTACAATTTAAGCGAGCGAAAGCGTTAGGTCGGACCTGCGCAAGAGTGGCGTGCGTTCTGCGTCGGATGCAGCTACGCACTTACGGGGGGAACCCGCTCGCGCGCAAACTGATCGGGGCGTGGCCGCTTGACCTAGATATGGTCGCGCCATAGGTGAGTAGTGCTCTCTCGTTGCGGCGCGTTAAAGATGCCAGGTTCGGTATGCCTCCACAAAGGTATAAAATTTCATCAGTAAGTTGATTTTTTACTAATTGTCATTGTTTTAACTAATTTACATCTAGGTGAATACTTTACTATGATATTTATTTTTGTAAACTTATATTTATTATGTTTCGTATTGTACAATTATCATTGCTGCTTTTATTCTACCATACTATGCGACATTGACAAACTCACCAAGCAATGTAATGTGAAACATTAGATATCATTGTGCATTGCGTATGTTTATAGTATGGCTGCAGGCATCGGTCGCTTAATGCTTATGTGCTAAGATGTGACGATATCCGTGTTGGAAGTAATCGAGTGCTAATTCATTTCTATTCTTATTATTACTATTTCTGTGGTACCAACCTTTTTTTAGAATTAAAAAAATATAATATATAACTATCTGGTGTAAGTAGCATAATGAGCTATCCTTGAGATTATTTCAGTGTAATATTGGGTATTGTTAGGTTTGGATGTCAGGTGTGCATTTACTTACCTATGCAAGTTTTGCAAGGTTGTATTTATACTCGTTATTGTTGCTGTGAATTATATCAAACATCATAATATATCATAATACATATATCATACCCGCATTAGCCATCCTCTGGTCTCCAATATAGTTGCCATAATTGTCATATGGCTCATCATTTGCATCTTCTCCAGTGGCTGGATAGTTATCACCGAGAGCTAAGGCTGGTGGTACTTCTGGTTGTACTGTCACAACCTCTGTTTCACGCCTACTACATAATATAAAATATATTAATATTGTCAGTATGAAAAACAATCTAATACTACCTATGAGGGGAGGTCAAAGATTTCGCAGAATGGCAGGGTTGGCAAGGGTGAGTTTACTCATCCAGGTAGGTGCTGGTTGAGTGACTCATTGTTAGTATATATACCAAGTTTCAGCCTAATTGGGTCATTAGCTTTCGAGTTATCAATGAGTAAACAAGTCAATCGGAAATAAACTAGCCACTATGGAGAAAATTGAATATCACACCATCATTAAGTTTCTCATCAAGCAAGGAAAGACACCTTAAACCATTTTTCATGAGATGTCAGCTGTTTATGGGCACTCTGCTAATGGGAAAACCATGATTTATAAATGGCACACCCTTTTCAAATAAGGGAGGGACTCCATTGCAGATGACCCCCCACCTGGATGGCCGATTGAGGCTACCACAGCAGAAATAATCGAAAAAGTTGTAAAGCTTGTATTGGATAGATGCCCGGCTAAAGAAAAAACAATGTTCAGCTTGGAGACATCTTTCATTGGGTTATCCATCATTTAAAAGGGGTTTCTATTGAGAATCGTTTGGCAAGAATTTGGGGGATTAAGGTGTTTTATTTGGTAGTTTTCCCGCCCTATTTGGGTTTTATTACTGACTTCATAGCTTCGATATTATGTGAAAGCTGGATAGCATACAGAATTTTGTGTCTGTGGCAGGAGCAAAGGCAACTTGACTATAGATATCTGATCTGATCGAATCTGTACTAAAATTAAATCAGCACGCCCCGAATCCACGTAGTCTTGTCTGCCCTACTCCTAGTGTTTTTCTAAAGCCATAGATGCGGAGGGAGAGCAGCCCCTGCCCATAGTAGCAAATCGCAGGCACCTGTAGTGTGGTTATTATTGTATTATATATTATGTTTATAATTTAAAGTAATTATAAAAGCAAATATATTGGTGTTTAGTTGAGTGCAAGAGTGAGCAAAGCGAGCTTGGGACTTAGGGCACCACGACTCAGACAGGTTAGGTTAGAAGGGGATGGCGGGGTCTAGTGAGCGAGTGAAGCGAGCGAATAGACCCTGCCATTCCCTTTGTGGTCATTTGTTTGTAAACCACTCAGAAGTAGGAGCGGGGCTCTGTCGACCGGCCTTCCCTCGGCTACGCTACATGGTGCTTCCCTCCTCCAACTCTCTCCCCCATCCATTTTTAGTAAAAAAATTTTGGGGGAAGTTTATAGTAAAAAAAAACATCACAAAGGTTTATAGTAAAAAAAAACATTACAAAGGTTTATAGTAAAAAAAAAAACATTACAAAAACATAACCTCAAAACTAGATTTTTAAAAATTTATAAAAAAAAAATAAGCATGTCCGGCAGGATGTGGAAGTTGGGGGCGACTCTACAACTTTCTTGCCTCCCTCTCCATCACCTCCCACCCCCTTAATTCGAGTTATAGTGTTCTAGTTTCTTTTAGATTTTTTTCAAGAATGGTGCATTACCTTTTAATAGGAATGGTATTATTATAATCGGTGACCTGACCTCTACCAAATAAAACACCTTACAATAAGTTTATAATCTTTTTAAAGACTTCTAGTTTTTTCAAAGCATTATAAGTGTTAACATGATAAAAAGAATAGAATAATGTAGAAGTGTCAACTAAAAAATATAGAAATTACCTATTTTTGTCAGACAGTGCTGGTCTTACACTTAGGCTTTTTCCCTGAAATACACTACCATCAGCCTTAGTTATTGCATCTTGAACACTGGCTTCCCTTTCAAACTGAACAAATCCAAAGTTTCTGTTAACAATTATTCCGTTTATTTGTCCATAAGGTATAAAGTGTTCATACAACTCCTCCACTGTAGCTCTTTCAGTAAGGCCCCCTACGTATATACGGAGGTGGGCAGTAGCGCGGTCTTTCATAGCATGTCTATCTAAAGTTAGTTTATCTGTAAATTTTAATTATCAATTAATATCAATACTAGTAACTGTATAAAATAAATTTCAAATAAATAAATATTCTAAATAAACAAACAATATTATTTAAACTAATAAGGTATAAAACTTAAAATATTAATATTAAAAGTATAAGTAAAACTTTATGAGGTATTATTAATTTAACCAACCCAATATGGACATTATGGAAACCCTAGAAGTTGGACTACGTAAATGTTATGCTTTTAGATAGAAGAGCTTTTAATCCTAAAATAACGAAAACAAAATACACAATCTAATTTATGAAGATAGCTTTTTTAGGCAAAATTTTTATTTATGCACCCATAAACTAGATATAAGCACCATAGAGTAAGACTTAGATTAGATTTTTTTAAATATTTCGCTTTACGGCTCTGGGTTCTAGCCCTTCTGAGTCTATCATTTCTTTCGGAATATTCATTTTATATTTTTTTTCTTCACAATATGCTGATGCGTCACATTGCGAAGCCCTTGGGAGATTTTGACGACAGCTCAACGTAGCGGACAGTTGATGAGGACAGCCACTCAAGTCAGTAGTTTCTTAAAGAACAAGACCACCGCACTTCTGCTCCACGCCTCTGAAGTAGTGCCACCATGGAGGACGGAATTGAAGAGCTTCTGAAGGACTTCAAGTACCGGTGTTCCACCCGCTTTCAGAAGCTCCGCTGTAATTCCATCCTCGCCTGGGGCCCTGCCGTTTTTAAGGTGCTGGAGAGCCATTCTAATCTCGCTTAGACTGACGTCCGGGATATCATCGGAATAGTGTCGGATAAGACTTGCTCTTGGATCGTTACTCACACTTGCGTGTGGCTCCAACGATGATGTGTACAGCTGCCCATACAACCTCTCAATCTCACTCAAAATCTCAGGTGTCCCGGAAACGATGCTGTCACACTCAGTCTTAAGATGCCCAAGCTATCAAAATAACTTGAGGCTTATAAAGACATCAAGGGACTAGTTTCGTCGTTTTCTCTAATAGTTCACACGCGCGGGCACTTAATTCAGAAAATCGCATCACTTTTACGAATCAAAACCCACTTCAAACCATTCATTATTCAAGCGACAAAACAGGAGCGACAATCCATCTTCGGCCAAGTTACCGTCAAAAAGGTGCGCGCCATGAAGGTTAGAGAACAGGAGAACTGTGGAGTGTAGAGGTAAGGAGTACAGACTCTGTATAAAAAATGGCCGTAGGAAAGCGTTAAATAAGGGTGGCGCCACTGTAGCTACAGTTTAAAATTTAAAGAACTTTTTATAATTTTTTTATTACACAGACTCACCATAATTCTTTTAACAATAATTATTTTATTGCTTTCAAATTTGTTTATTTTCAAAATCACTTTCAACGTATTTTACAGCAATTTAACAAAACCTGTAGCTACTCGAGAGCTGTTGAAGAGAGTTTTTGAACTGTTATTTACTGCTTACAGATGGACACATTTTCAACTATTCTCCTATGGGAGATTGGGTCCCCTTCTTACCTCTATACTTCATGAGGAGAACGATCGCTACCTACTAAAGCATATCCCGCCTGTCCCTGAAAATTGGTAGAGCATATAGCCGCGCTATCGTTGGTAAGTAGTATCTGCGAAGTAATTTTTCAATTATTGACAAAAAGAAACATTAAAAAATGGTGTAATAATCAGGATAAGGTCTTCTTGACAATGCATCTGTGTTGCCACGCCATTTCCCGCTGCAGTGTCCGATAGTAAAGTCGTATTCCTGCTGCTGTTGGGCGGTGCTGTAAGCCGCACTACCCTTTCGAGATCGATCACCTTCCCTTTTTACAGACCGCTTAGGGCAGCTGGGTCGAAGATGGCCCCTTTCCCCACAGCCGTAGCACCTTGGGCTGTACCGTATATTGCGCTCGGGAACTGAAACTGCTGCAACCTCCATGACGCGATGGGAAATGACCCCATCGCGCAGGTTCCCTTCAATAAGCGCAGGTACAGAATGGTATGCTTTTCGAACCATCTTCTCCACCTCAAGGGCCCACTGCTGCAGGTTTTCATTGCTGCATTGCACGCAATCTTTAAGCTGCGCGCGAAAGACGTGTTCGACAAGGAGCTGCCAGTAGGTCACTTTCCTACCAAGAGCTTCCAACACAGTTAAGGCATGGTCTCGTAGGCCTAGGGTGAGTGCAGTCATGGCCTGGCTTTTATTCCAGCCGTTCGCCTTCATAACGGCTTCGAACTGGATTTTGGAAGCTGACCAGGAAGAAGTTCCGTCGAACGGTGGCACTTTGAACCCACGTAGCGAAGGTGTAGTAGCTACTACGGGAGCTGTAGTTCCATCGCCCAGTTTGAGGTCGTCCAGCGTTTTCTTCACGTCAGCCATCACGTTGTTAACCCGATTGTTCACTTGGTCGATTTGTGTTTTAGCTTCCTCGATTTGGGTTTCAGCTTCCGACAGGCGGTTGTCATGTTGAGCAACCATATCCTTCACCTCCCTTATCTGTTTCCCAATGGTAGCGTGAAGGTCCCTCATGAGGAGCAACTGCTCTTCCAACCGACGAGCCTGTTCCGTCTGCTGATCTTCCAACCGACGGGCCTGTTCCTCCTGTCCGCGCTGCAGCTGCTGTTCCAACCGACGGACCTGTTTCTCCTGTCGGCGGGCCTGTTCCTCCTGTCGGCGGGCCTGTTTCTCCTGTCGGCGGGCCTGTTCCTCCTGTCGGCGAGCCTGTTCATCCTGTCCGCCCCGCAGCTGCTCTCTCTCCTGTCGGAAAGTCTGCTCCTGCAGCATCACCATCAGAGCACCTAGTTTAGGTGCTGCAGTTGTAGGAGCTGCTGAAGGGCCAGCCTCCGTGGCTGGCAGTTGGCCCTCTGACATCTGCGGCGTTGCACCACCAAATCGTCTCTGGTCCGTCTCCTGCTGGCGTTGACTTCGGGTACGGACCCTCCATTTCGTCCTTAGGTAAAATCGGCATGATTTGATTCCACTTCTGACACCAATTGTTACGAACTTAAGGTTCGTGACAATAAAAACTACCGATTGAATTACCAAAATTAACACTTTAATTACCGAACACCAATTAAAATTTAAAAGACACTAAAAATTATTCACACTTAACACTTTAGTTCATTTTACTTCACTCCGAAAGCTTCGCTCGTATCGTCAATTCAGTACTGACCCGGTTGCGGCCCTCAGCGGCTTTAAAAACGACTTTTGCACCGAGACATCTAGAATGTTCCAGCAAATACCGGTCACGACCGACTAAGTGCAGAAAGTTCGAGAGTAGACTTTTCTAGAAAGCTTAATTCCTCTATTCGTTACTAGATGGCGCTGTTGGGAGAGTTCCAGAAAGATCTTGACATTCCTATTTGTGATACTTGATACCGGATGGCACTAGTGCCATAAACTATGGCGCGCAACACTAATATTATTTCCTTCATTTAATGTTTGTTTAGGCCAAATTGTGTAGTGACTGTAGTGTGTACTTGCCGTGTAGGGTCATCATTATTATCATCATTACAGCCCTTCACAAGTCCACTGCTGAACATAGGCCTCCCCCAAGCAACGCCACAAAGCACGGTCCTGAGCCACCTGCATCCATCGACTTCCTGCATGTCTTACCAGGTCGTCACTACATCTAGTGGGGGGTCGCCCTACACTACGCCTACCGGTACGAGGCTGCCACTCGAGAACCTTTCTTCCCCATCGGTTATCGGTTCTTCGAGCTATATGGCCGGCCCATTGCCACTTCAGCTTACTAATCCGTTGGGCTATGTCGGTTACTCTGGTTTTACTGCGGATATCCTCATTTCTGAGTCTATCACGCAGAGAAACTCCGAGCATAGCCCTCTCCATAGCTCGCTGCATTGCAATCTTCTAGGCACTGAAAGCGGTTACGTAACTTGAGCTGAAAAGTCTCGGGATTCTGGATTAGAGCACGAGGGGGGACGGAGCGTTGACTTCATTAGACGAGACATCTCCAACTTAACGTTTAGGTTCAGTGTGCCTCTAACCATTCGGTGATCGCTGCCGGTTTTCACCCTTGCGATCATTGAGACATCACTCAACATTTGGCGTCTGGTCGTTATAATGAAGTCAATCTCATTTTTTGTCGAACCGTCGGGGCTCGACCAGGTCCACTTCCTGTGGGGCTGCTTCTGGAAGAAAGAGTTCATCAAAAAGAGTCCCTCTTTCTCCATAAAGTCAGCCAGCTGCTGGCCCCTACGGTTCCGTTGCCCTACTCCAAATTTCCCTAACTTCAGCTCACCGCCTTCTCTTGTGCCTAGTTTTGCGTTGAAGTCTCCCATCAACACCGTGTAAGCCGTGTAGTGGCGGTTGAGAATATCCACTACCCCATATCTTCCCGTGTGTGTCGTAAGAGGCGACAGAGGGACACAGAAAGGAGATGGGCAGCAGCATCTTCCTAATAATAACAATAACATAATAAAAAACTGCGGTTGCCAACCCGCTCGCCAAGCGTGGCAACTATGGCAAATATCCCCCCATCCGTGTAGGGTAATTGTATTTAATTTAATTTAATAGTAATTTGTATTTAGTAGTGATGCCACCGCACAAGCCACCGGCGCTTCGCGTGCAGGCGGAGCTGCGCTGGGCCGCGAATGCCCATACCTTGATATGGCGACTCGATCGGGTCCATAGTTTAGAGAAGCGGCTCGAGCAGGTCATGGTCCGAAGGGCCGTAGTGGAGGAGGCTTGCACTGAGCTTTTGGCCTCGGATGCAGAACAGGGAGTCCTAGACTCCTGTCTCGCGGGTTACGAGCAATTCTTTTCGCTCACGGGCGACTTGATCGAGGCGGGGGCCAAGTATGCTAGTGAAGCGCGTGAAGCTCGGCTGAGTGGCCTGCTCGAGTCCCCTCGGAAGCAGCCTACTCAGCCGGAGCTGTTGGGACGACTCCCAACTCTGGACCTGCCAAGGTTCTCCGGGGTCCTCTCCGACTGACTGACCTTTGTTGGCCTTTTTGATAGCCTAGTAGACGCCCGGAGGGACTTGACACCAAGCCAGAAGATGGCGTACCTCCTGGCCTCACTGGAGGGGGAGGCCCTGGGCGTCGTCGGCCATTTGAAATTGTCGGACGACGCCTACCAGACCGCCCGGGACCTCCTCGCAGGAAGGTACGCCAACGTCCGGCGAATTGCGGACCACGTTAGGCAGCTTCTAAGCCTCCCGCTACTTATGGACCGGGCCAGACTAC